TTAGTGTTGTTTTTCTATACAAGATGTTGTTTTCCAGGACCAACCGTTGCCACTCTCTCAATAGCTTCCTAGTTTCGCTAGCGGCCGTGCACCGAACATCAGGGGTCGGAGTCTTCCCAGCTTCCTTCAGTTTGAACACTGGTCCAATCACCTTATCCTCCCGCTGGGCTTTACTTAATTCATCAGCACTGATGGTTGGTGAGAACTGATTGTGTAGTGTGACTGTGTCTGGCGCTGACAAATTTAGAGCTGCCACCCAAGCCACATCTCTATTTTTAGACATCATGTTGCCCTCCCAGGTTGCATGGATGGCATCTTGTGACAGACCCTCAGTGCACTCGCTTATGTATTGGTCCATGTCCAAGGGACAACGTGACAACAGGTCGGCATCGTTGTTGCTCTTGCCTGGTCTGTATTTGATCTCAAATCGAAAGTCTGCGAGCTCCCCCACCCAACGATAACCAGCTGCATTTAACTTTGCAGAACTCAACACATACGTGAGAGGGTTATTATCGGTATAGATCGTAAAATACGGGGCATAGAAGAGGTAGTCGCAGAACTTTTCGCACACTGCCCACTTGAGTGCAAGAAACTCCAGCTTGCCTGAATGGAGCCTGTAATTTTTCTCAGCAGGGGACAATGTTCTTGAGCCATATGCAATGACACGTAATTTTCCTTCTTGCCTCTGGTAAAGTACTGCCCCCAGTCCTTGCTCAGATGCATCTGTGTGTAATACAAACGGGATGTCAAAGTCAGGGTATGCGAGCACAGGCGGACTGGTCAGCATGTCAATGAGCGTGTCCAAGCTCTGCTGGTGCTTGTCTTCCCATTCAACCGGATGTCGAGAAGGCATCTGCGGACTTTTCTTCCTTTCCTTCTTACGTCCTACTTGTGGTGGAGTTTCTGATGTGCTAGCCTGAAGCAGCTCATAAATAGGTTTCGCCAACCTAGCAAAATCTTGAATGTAGCTTCGATAATAGCTCAAGAACCCTACAAGGCGGCGGACTTCTCCAACGTTTTGAGGTGTTTTGTCACGAAGAACTCTCACAGCCTCCAGGTCTTTTGGATCCACTCTTACTCCACTTACAGACACCAGACGACCAAGGTACCGGACCTCCTTATTAAACAACTCACACTTAGCTGGCCTTAACTTGACTCCATGCTTCCGAAGAGCTCTGAACACAACTCGCAGATTCTCCACATGCTCTTCAAAGGATTTGGCAAAACACAGTACATCATCCAGGTAGGGCAGACAACATTCATCACGGATGGAATCTAACATCTCTTCCATACTTCGCTGAAAAGCGGCTGGAGCATTTGATAGACCAAAGGGTATCCTTACCCATTCAAATAGGCCCCAAGGGGTCACAAATGCGGTCAAATGCCTTGACCCTTCAGCCATATATCCCTGGTGGTAAGCCTTACCCTGGTCAAGTATGGAGAACCACCGGTAACCGCCCAAAGTGTTCATGAGATCCTGGATCCGTGGCAGAGGATGGCGATCGGGCACGGTTTTCTTGTTTAGCTGTCTGTAATCAATACACAACCGTAGCGTACCATCTTTTTTTCGGACACACACTACCGGGGCAGCATAGGGTGATCGGGATTTTATGATCCAACCTTTGGCAAGCAAGTCCTGGACATACTCTTTTACTTCCTTCATGAGTGGCTTGGGTATTGATGTGTAGGCCTTTTGCACCGGGATATCGTCCTTTACGTTCAGGGTCATCTGTAGACTGGGGATGTCCCCAATGTCATCTTCATCACGGGCAAACACAGCAGACTCTTCATAAAGTAGTTGCTTCACAACTGCTTGACTGCTTGTTTTCAAATGACTCAAATCTACGGGAGGATGCCACAGTGTGCCACTGTCATCCGGCTGCACTGGCTGAGATTAAATCATTTCCTGTGAGCTGCTTGGGTCAACTTGATCAGTCTGGATAATTTTGCCAATGGTCGCTATTTCCCCAAGTATAGCTCTTTTTGGAATGGTCACCTCACGCTTAGTGTGATTTCCCACTGGAACTTTTATATACGACTGCCCTCCTTTGTGAATCTCAATCAGTCCTTCCCCGAGGTCGAGATGTCCTACAGTTGAAACCTCATCACTTGGCTCAAACAGAACTGCAGGGTAGGAAGTGTTGAAGTTATAAGGCACCCTACATTTCACATTAGCCACCTGGCCAGGACGAATAGTGAAACTTCGCGGTCCTACTCTCACACGAGCTGTGTCTGCATTTACTTTGTCTGCGCGAATGAAGCCAACTGACACCTCAACCGGATCATCTTGGGTACTTCCAGTGTTACTCATCAGGGAATGCAGGGTGGTAAGAATATCTGTACTATCTTTTGGCCCTGTAATTAACTCTGAGATCACATTAAACCCCAAAAGAGGCCTCTCCAACTGCAACTGACTGACCAGAAATGGAACTTGGATGGAATAACGAGTCCCGTCATGTCCAGGTAAGCTTACGGTTGCTTCAACCCATCCACTAAATGGAATTGCATCCCCACTGATAGCCAATACCTCCAGACCAGCACTGGGTCCCACTATTTCAGATAAGGGGCGAACCTCATGTGTTGGTAGATACTTTTCCCTCCAGTTTTGATCGATAATGCTAACCTGTGCTCCAGTGTCAAGCAGCATGCTTACTTTATGGCCCCCAAATTCCCCATCCAGAAGACACTTTTTCCCAACAAACTGAACAATCTTTTCTTCTGAGTTCTGAGGCTGTCTTTTGTATGGTTCCCTTGCAGTGCTGCGTATGTGACTCCACGACCCAACATTAACTGTACATTTATGGCTGGGTGACCCTGTCTTGGTGACTGCCGTCTGTGGTGTGCTCTTTGGCCTGGTGCTGGGTGCTGATCTGTTTTGTCTGTTCAGGCAGCCAACAGCCCGGTGGCCCTCTTCGCCACACAAAAAACAGTGATTGCATGTCTCGACTTTCCCGTGCTTAGTACAGTTGGGGCAACCTAGTCTTCTCCTATTTTCAGGTGCTTTAGCCGTGCACTGACACTGATGTTCTGTCAATTTTGTCTGCTGCAGTGAATTGACAACGTTTGTCAGTGCTTCCACTTGGGTCACTGCATGAAAAGTGGGATTTTCGTCAGTAAGCGGCACTGTAGATTGTCGTGGAAGTTCAGGTTTACGACTGCACACGGCAATTTACAGGTAACACTCAAAACTGCTGTGAATTGCCGGAAATTGACGTGGGCCTTGCTTGGCAGTTGTCCCCCCATTGTCCCCCCTTCTCCTAAATCTAGAGGAGGCTTTGACATGTAAATGAAAATGCTGTGAGCTATACACATGCAAATAAGGGTAGGGGAGTTTCACCCCAGGTAACATTTTTCTGAAAGGAACTTCATTCTAAGACAATCTCTGGTAGAAATAGATCAGGCTCAGTATAACCTAATTACCGTGTTTTTTTTTTTTTTGGTTTTTTTTGTGTGTTTTTTTTTTAACATTGCAACATGACATCCAAAAAGATAACAATCAACAAATAATAATTTCACAATAAATAAGAAACAAATAAAAATAGGACAGAATTGAACAAATGAAATAAAAAACAGGAAAGGGACTATCTCTATTGTGTATAATATTATGATTTAAGAGAAAGTTAGAAACCAGTAATTTGTACTATTTAAAGAAAGAAAATAGCATACACATAAATTCACTTTTCAAATAGCTTCAATATTCTTTAGCAAATACAATTGTATCACTACATTTTTATAGATACATTTGAGAGACTCAATATACTGAAAACTGAAAATCAGACCCAAAAAAAAAAAAAAAAAAAAAAAACTTCAAACAAGGTTTAGAATTATCCATTTTACTCTTATGAATATGAAATTTTCCTAATACAATTACAAGATTCATCATAACATTTACAGAAGTAGTTTTCAAAATATATGATAACATCTTTGGATGTTAATTCACAGTTATAAACAGATGTTTTTTGTTTTTGTTTTTTACAAAAAATTTTACTGGTTTATTTATTTTAAGTAGCCTAATAAAGTTATTTATTTATGCATATATGTATTTTTACATTTCATGGTAGCCTATTTGGGTATATCCACCTTATTCCTTATTTAAAATGAACAGCAGCAGAAAAGTCAAGGACAGCCGACGACAGCCTTTCAACCTGAGTCAAAAACCAGTGAACGTAACTCTGATTGGCTGAGGCAGCATATCATCATAATCCAACCTGTAACGTCAGCCACTCTGATTGGCTGAGGCAACGTGCCAGGCATGTGGCGTGTTATTCAAGCAGAAATAACGGCACAGATATTTAGCCTGCTTCGCCGTCATGATCGCTGGTGAACCCATCTTTTCCTCTAAATTGAAGGTAAGTTCGTCCAACTTAGTGAATTCTATGTCCATGTGTACTTATAGTGTTTGGTAGTTTAGCGTTATTGTCTTAAACTTCACAAATCTGCTGTGATTACTGCCGCGAATGTCCAAGGGTGTTAACCTAACGGAACAGTTTTTTGTTTTGCGTTAGCTTGCTGCTCTTAATTCTTTTTTAGTTTCGTTTCAATTTGAACAATTTGGGACACTAAACTGTACGTTAGTACTACAGTACAGTAGTAACTGTACTGTACTAACTCGTACTGAGTGTTCAATTGGCTTTTCCCAATGCGTTTACTGTGAATATCGTCAGAAATTATGAAAAAATAATAAGTGCCAGGGTCATGAAACATAAAGCGCGTAATGTGCTTGTATGCTCTAGTGTAGGCTATCCTTGTTTGTAAAATTGCATCACTTTGTGTGATGGAGTGAAATCTTCAGGTGTTTGTGATTTGTTTTGTCTCTCAGGGACTGTAAGGAGTGAGGTGTCCTTCGCTGATGGGAGAAAAAACACCTAAACAAGGTAACGTTACGTGTTGTGATCTTATCCTCTTTTCTTTTGAACAGGCCCCAGTCAAATAAAAAGTAAAACTAAACTAATTTGTATTAACGTTTGTGTTTATTTGAGTGTTGACTTTGAGCGTGAGACAGTGGTGAAAACGCCAAAGAGAACTGGAACATGGCATGTTATATTCAGTTATAAATGTTTGACCAAGTTATTAAATATCTTATAAATCTGTTCAGTTTCATCATTTGATAATAACTTTATAACACATTTGTTTGTGGTATAGATGCAGTGACTGAGACTGGGAGATGCAGTGACTGAAATCTGGTGGTAAGTATTGATCTATTGGCAGTGGAGAAGACACTTTTAATAGACACCTTCTCCCTTGTGAGCTAGCAAATTTTGTTATTCTAATTAGAGTATTGTAAACATCACCAAATGTGTTTGTTTACTTCAGTGTTCCAGAAAAAGGTCCTGAAACTACTGGTCGACATCCGCCATCGCCTGAAGGAAACCAGGTAGTGGATGCAGAAGAAACATATTTTTGCTTACAAATGTGGGGACTTGGGGCAGATTGCCTTTGCATACATCTAAATCATTGTCTTTTTCAACTTTGCAGAAGGGGTCATGAAATTCGGTTCCACAGCCACTGAGGTGTATGTACATCAAGGTGAACCTCAAGCACGCGTCGCAAAGACTTGGATTCACTTCGCCCTGATGAGCCAAGCCTACAGGACTTGAATTAAGAGTTTTAAAGGGATAGTTTACTTGAAATTATTTTTTTGAAATGTTTTGGCTTACATCAAGGGCATCAGTCATATAATGGAAGTCTATGGGGATCTCTTAAAAGAGCATGCACAGAGAAGTACAAATTAAACATGATTTAATGAATCATAACTGTAAGTACACGTTGATGGCTTAAGATACGAGACGAGCGGTTTGTGTGAGAAAATGAACAGTGTGTGTGTTTGTGTGTGTATATATATATGATCTGCGCATGCGGCGGAAAGTGCCAGAAGCGATCTTGCACTGGTACGTCACTCATTGTTTACACAGATTTCAGAAGTTTTACTGTGAAGATCTAAACATATTAAGATATATTGCATTTTTGTGTATATCTAAATATGTATATATATATACACATTTATACAATAACAATATAAATACTGTTTGTTTTCTCTCACAAAACGCTCATTTCGTGTCTTAGTCCATCAATGTGTACTTAATTTATGAGTCATTAAATCATGTTTAATTTGGTCTTCTTTGTGCATGCTCTTTGAGGTGGTGACCATAGACCTGCATTATATGACTGACAGACAACAACGGTTTGACCTAAAAATATCAAAATTGAAAATACTGTGGAAACAAAGACCCCTGCATCTTGGATGCCCTTGAGGTAAGCTAAAACATATCAAAAATTAATTTCAAAGTAAACAATCCCTTTAAATTACATCCTTATTATTCGTTCATAATTCTGCCTTCTGTGTTTGATATATCTGTTGCCCAATTCTGATGCCATTCAGGGCAATTTATTTTTGAATAAAGATGCAATATATTATTGATTTATTTGTATAACTGTAGTGCTGTATGTATGTTGTCCCATGTTTCCAGAGGGTGGAGGACATGTTTTCTGTGCTTTGAAGATGTTCTCCTATGCTTTGTACATAGTTGTGTGTTTGTTCTAATAAAGCTATTTCTTTGAATAAACAGTATGTGGCAAATGTTCCTTTCCTCAATAAATTCATGTCCTTGATGGTAATAATAATTTAGTCCATAGGATAACAATGACATGAATATACAACATAATAGCATATCATATGAATATATATATATATATATATTATTATTATTATAATTTTATGTCGGCTGACCAATAGTAACAGATCTGCCAACCAATCACGAGTGATTTTCTTGTTTAAATGTAGTGAATTTCAACCAATACTGAGTGAGGAAATTCAAGCCATTCTCTGGCAAGGCGCGCGCAGTGCTGCTATTCATATGCTAATTAGGGCCATTCACACCTCCGCGAGCGCTCCATGTATACGTCATGGTTCGTTTCCGTCAATATGTGTCACAGACGAACGCGACGTTCACAGTCTGTAAATTGTCGTTAACTGCCGAAAATTAGGGAGATTTCCGGCAGTTTACGGGGACGAAAACCCCACTTTTCATGCAGTGGGTTATTAGTTTGCGAATCTCTTTATCAGTATGTTCTGTAGTGACAGCTGCTGCCTTAACACCTGGTTCTTCTTCAATCTGAGCACTACGAGCATGAGTGATTTTATGTCGTGGCAGTGACTGCAGCCGCCGCTGTCGTTCCTCTTCCTCACTTGTAACCTTTACAAGCTGTCTGAGAAGCATGTCATCAGTTGCGTATCCTGCAGCGGCAAGTTGTTTAAACTCACGACGAATTTCACTGTACTTGGGCCCCAGACCCTGGCAAACTGTGTGCAGAAACACTTCTTGAATGGTCTTGGCATCATACTTTATATCCGCTGTGCTGTGCTTAGAAGAAAATTGGATCTTTTGTTTAAGGCCAATGACGCGATAAAGAAATTGCTGTGGATTTTCGTTTTCTCCTTAGCGTGCACACATCAAATTTTGAAACAGCTCAGTGCTACTCTTATCACCTAAATGAGACTGTAATAGTCTTCTTAACTCTTGGACTCTCTTTTTCCATTAACATCTCCTTGAAATGGCCGGGTTTAGTGATTTTCAGGACCCCTCTAATAATTTCACTCTCTCCAAAATGTTCTTGTAGGCCCTCGTCAATTTGTCGACATAAACTGTTAAAGCTAATCTCTGAGGTGGAGTCACCAATCTGACCTCCATGGATTTTAAACTCTCTCCGTGAGATATATTGGAGTTCTCTCCTGAACACTGGGTCATTGGCATCGGGAGGAGGCGGGTAAGTCTGAAAAGGTTGCTGGGAGGAGCTGGGCTGTGGAGGTATAGCGTAAGGTCCCTTAGCTTGAATTTTTCGGCCAAGCTCCTCATACATTTTCAACATCTGCTGATACTCCGTGTCTCCAGCATATGTGTCTGTGTGTGAGTGACTAGTCTTCGTGTTTGTGTCAGATGTCGTGTGATCAGAATAAACCTGTGCTTGGGCTGTACTTGTGACATGAGTTGTTTCTTTTTGTGTTGTTATGTGCTGGGACTGAGTAATTTGTGTAATTTTGTCTCTTAGATCAAGTAATACCGCCATCCCCTCATCTTCCCTTTCCAACAGGTTTCTACCACACAGAAACCCACTAACAAAATCAAAACAGCCCTCCTCATCCCCCAGTTCTACTTGTGATTTTTCCCTCTCATCACTTTGTTCGATGTTTTTAGCGATAAAGAAGAGTTCATCAGCAGACAATTCACAGAGTGCTTTCCTGATTTCCCTCACCAGGCTTCTTCTCTCGTTTGTCTGTACTGACCTCCATACCACTGCTAACAACAGTCAAACAACAGCAGGCCTTCCATTCAGGAATTCACAATAAGCTGGTCTTCGGATTCTTTTGGATAAGCTCCACTTCTCCAGCAGGTGGCGCAATCCCGGACGAGCCCCCAAGAACTGTAGCGGGTACAGGATCTCCGCATCAGTTGACAGTTAAGCGTTCCCAGCAATCTGTGGAATGGTGGAATAAACACAGGACAACTATATGCGTGTGATCAGCTCCGGTCTTGCTGGGTTGTGTTTACTTCAAAATGTTCACATTAGAACAAACCCAAATGTCAAAAACAAAATACATTGTCATAATAAATTGATTATGCACAATTTCACTGTTTCAGTCTCTTTCTTACAATGACACAATGTTTTTTCAAAGATCTGTCCATCAGCCAATGACTATATTTCTCATTTGTATATTCACATTGTATATTCACATGTTGTTCAATGTTTAATGAAAACACGTATTCAAACAAGGTATTCCTGAGTATTTTCCCCATTTTAGACCACTCACATGCATTTCTAAAGTAAAATACACATATTATTAACCAGTGTTGTGCAAGTTACTTCCAAACTGTAATACATTAGGTATTACTTGTTACTGTTATTTAAAAGTAATTGATTACCTTACAATATTACTGTCTCAGAATTGTAATGCGTTACATTTCTCATGTATTACTTTTGAGTTACTTTCACCAAAATAACTAAGTAGTACTTAACTTTGGGGCTGTAACGATATGCAAAATGAAACCGAAATCGCGATTCGCCACACGACTCAGATCCACGAACCTGCAGAATCGCGACACACCTCTTCCAACTCCAGCGTTATTCTCCTTACCGTCCAGATCCAATGCTGCCTAATTATCTTTAAATTAGGCTATTAGTATTATTTGAAGTTAACATTATAAAATACGTAGACCTACACCACAAAACTACTGTTGTTGAGGATAAATTATTTAAAATTGGGGAAGTCCAGCATTATGGACATGACATTTGCAGTCAAAACTTGAAATAAAAATTCTCATGTATTGAAACGTATATAGTAGGGGTGTAACGGTAGACAAAAATCACGGTTCGGTACGTACCTCGGTTTTAAAGTCACGGTTCGGTACGTTTTCGATACAGCAAAAAGAAAGAAATGCCAGAGAAATTTCCTATTTGTTTAAAGAAAAAATATTTTTAAATAAGTGTGAGTTTTCCTAGATCTTGAAACTTTCAGGTTTATAAATGGGGGTCATCTTTGAAGGGTGAACAAATAATGTTTTGGTCATCACATTAAAACTAACATTTAAATATATATTTATGTATATAATATTTGAATTTTGAAGTGCTGGTAAAAGATGTGTGAAGTACTTGAAAGCATTTCACCATTCCAGCCAAACTGGTTCCAGTTAGTGTTACTATATTAAATCCATGGTGAATGTTGCTGGTCTGTGGACGTAAAGTTCATTCACGGCACAATGTTTCTCCTGGTTTCCATGACAGCGCTGTTTGATATAATAGAGATCTGCGGTTAATAACGGAGAAATGTGAATGCATCTCACTAGATCTCGCAGCGATGTTATTACCTCAGTGGCGAATTCAAATGTTTTCTTTACCCCGGATCTCTTAGCGCGGTGTAGTAACAGTGTCGCTTGGTCGAGATCGTCTCGCGCTGCACAGATGTTGCTGGTCCGAACTGATAAACGATCCGTGAAGCACATTTATAGCGCAGTTTCGTTCTGCATTCATTACGCTTGCCATTTGATGTTGCGCAACGTTGTGTTGGCCGCGTCAGCACGAATTTTGCCGGCAGGAAAAATGGTCCAAGCAATCGTTCGGTTTGTATGCGTACCGAACCGGAAGCTTCGAACCGAAACGGTTCAATACGAATACATGTACCGTTACACCCCTAGTATATAGGCTATTTCCTTAAAGGACAGACATTAGACATTAGACAAATATCAGTCTATGTTTTATTTTTAATATTAGGGAAAAGACACACATTCATACGTGACAAAAAAAAAATAGGAGGCAACATATATTTTTTGTAATTCTGTTAATTACACTGCGCAAATCGGATGAGGAGGGGTTGGCATTTTAGTTTTCGTGTTCGCATTTATGAGGAAAAAACAATGTTACAGACGCGACCGCTCTGAACTGGCACAAAAAGACTGCTTTAAAACTAGTCTGTTGCCTTTAAGAAGTAAAATACACTGTAATACAACTGTAATACAAGCCTGACTGAACATGTAACGGGTAAAATATTACTGAAAATTGATTAGTAATGCCTTACACTACGTGTTACAGCAAAAAGTAATATGTTACTGTAATGTATTACTTTTGTAATGCTTTACTCCCAACACTGTTATTAACTAATATAACAACACATTTAAACATGTTCACCT